ATAGTAATTCTTAAAAAATATATATATCTTTTCTATATTTTATGCATACAACAATGAAAATAATAAAAAAAAACGATACGAAAAAATTTGTTATTAGTATCCTCGAAATCATGTAAACGATATAGATTTCTCATTATCATTAAATTGGTAACAAAATATTCTGCAATGCTGTTTCAGAGATGACACCAGAAATACCAGATCCACGAGTGCGAACTCCACCAGAATTATCACGTGTAAATACCGATGACCCAGCCGAATGTGTAAAGCAGATGTTAAAAGCTGCTAGAGATATGGAGTTGGAATCGGTTGTTAAAATTTTAACAAGCCATGATGAAGAATTTTTTAGAAATCATATCAATGACACAGATTCTACTGGTCGAGTATGTATCTACAACTACTAAAATAATTATTTTAAAATGTGTATSTAATAACTGATAGAATACAGTGAAACGTAATTAGAACAAATGACCTTATATCTATATACATAATATATATGTATGAGTAAATAAGAAAAATAGTATATTACCTATACTGTCTTTAGGAGAGCATAATGCTTTAAATTTAATCTATGTAGGTGACTTATAACTACAAAAAAAAAAGTAACTGGAAGAATTTTCCGATCTTAAAAAAAGTTGTCGCATAAAACTTTTAAGGCACCCTTCTACTACCATAAATTATAATAATATTGAAAATATATACCTACCTAAGTTGAGTGGTCCATCTAACTTATTACATTGATTTATATCTGTTAATGTTCAACATTTTGTAAAATTTATTTTATAAATTATAAAACTTCATTTTTTTTGTGTATTTTATTTTTCCGATACTTTCGTAGTTTTTAATCTCCGGTAAAAATGTGTATATCGTATTTATAAAATTATTAAAACCTATAAAATTTATGGAATAATGAGTGAATATATTTTTTTATATTTWGGTATAGAAATTTAAGTTTAAAAAAGTAGTGTAGACAGTGTAGTAATTTAYAACATACGATTAGTACTAAATATTAATAATAATAATGCTTATAGAGTTACAAATAAGTATATTGTATTTATTTTTATTCATTATATACCTCTTTATATGTAATACTAATATGGTTGCTTAAAAATATTTGTGATCGGTCATCAAAATACTGGAAGAACAACTTATGATTAATTAAGTTTTAATTAATTTGATATTTATAATGTTTACATACTTATGTCTAATAATAATAATATGTATTTCTGTTGTTACATCAGACGCTATTGAGCTACGTGTCATCGAGTGGCAGCATCGAAATAGTCGAAGAGATATTTAGAGTGCCGGATTTGGATTATAACAAACCGGACAATGAAGACAACACTCCATTACATTTTGCATCGCAAGCAGGTTAGTATAATAGGTAGTTATAGTTTGAGCAATATATTTTTTCAAGAGTTTGTTTGTAAACCGTTTTTTTAAATTGTTTAATTGAAAATGAAAAGAGGAAATAGACTGGCTCAGAGRGACTACATATAATTTAAAATTTAAAATTAACATTGTAAATAGTTATTATTATTACTTTGGCAGTTTGGCTAGGGACTACATTAATTAACGTTATGKTCAATTAAGTTGATAGTAATTACTAATTTAATAATATAATGAAAATAATAAAATGGTTTTATTATTTTATATCATAAACAAGTTTTAAAAAATATTTCCATTGAACATTATTTTTCATATGCCTATTAATATCATGAATGTAAAATGTAGATAAGTATTTACCACATTTGCTGTTTTTTTCATCCAATGTCCAATAATTTTACTATACTTTATAACAGAAATGAACAACATTTACTTTTAGGTCAATCCGAAATTGTGTGTCTGTTATTAAACAACTGTCTAAAACTAGAGATTGATGCCAGAAACTGTTTGGGTTTCACACCACTAATGAAGGCTGCTCTTCAGGGGCGCACGAAATGCGCGAAATTTCTACTCTATGCAGGTATTACACTTAACACTTATTCAATACATAGTAGTTAATATGTTTAGGTTATATTCAATATATTCCAATCTTATGTTACTTTACCTTAAAGATAATGCATGTTAATTCATTGTGTTTCATAGAATAAAAATAATATCCAAAATATTGATAATAGGTTAAAAAAATATTTTTTACAGTGTGGTATTCATAGTTTATTACCAACTCRTAATTACTTTTTTACAGATTGGAARATAAGAATTTAATATTGATTTATTTGTAAATTTTAAATTAGGTATCATTTAATATTACACTCGGAGAGTTTGGTGTTATATTAGATGCTATTGGATATTAAAATCTTGTTTTTGACTCTTTATNATATATTATACTTCTTACATTTGTAGGAAATATAACATTAAATACAAGTAGGTAGGTTATCTGTATCTTTACATCTGTCATAATATGTGCCCTAATACTCCTTAGTCATTACTCATTGTACATAATATATTGAACTATACAATTATTTATTTATATACTTTTAAAATTTTCAGAGTTTAAAATCTTCAACTGTGTCTTCTTCTACAGTCACGTGTCATAGACGTGGTGCGCCAAGATATGCTTTAGCAGATCAAAATAATACATCATATTTTGGTCGCGGGTCATTTCCAAACGATTACAATGATGACGGCCTTGATGATTATTTAAGTCACAGGTTAGTTATTACAGAGATAAAAATAAACTATAACATATTAAATATTTGTTGAATATTCTATAGACTTAACACAATATGTGTATCTATATTATATTATGATAATTAATAAGGTTATCCAGTATCCACCTCCAATTATACCACTGTTATTTATAATTATTGTTTTGTATTAAGTATAAACATATTTTCATAAATATAAATAAATATCACTATACAATAACAYAAATGACGCATTTTTTTGTTCCTTAAATAAAGCTTTTATACAATCCATCTACTATCTACGCATTATATAATACACAACTACAACACTATTCGGATAATAATAAATATATTTCCTATATTCCCACATTCCCACCTGCTATTTTTTTTTTAAATTGCATGGGTACCTAAATTTATAAAAAAAATTATTTACCTGTAGTAGGTATATTATTTTATAAAATATTGTTCCATAAGAGTGGAGCGTGGACTGCAGATAAGAATAAACCTACCAAATTAATATGCCC